GGCTTCCCCGAGGGTCCTGTGTCCCCGCCGGGTGGTCCCGTCGCTCCTCCCTCCCAGAGGCCGTTTCCCCCCAAATCCCGCCCTCACCAGTCTGGGTCTGGGTCAGGGCCAGGGCCCCCGAGAGCAGCAGGAGGAGGGTCCCGGGTGCCATGACCCGAGTACTGCAGTTCCTTGTACCCGGGACCCGTGGTGACGGTGATCGGCTTCTCCAGAAATCGGAGACCCAGTTGGAGTGAGAACTGGGGCCGCGTCATGTGTGTACAGGCAGAAGGGGTTGACACAAGTTGTGAGAGGGAGAAGCGAAACTCTGGGGATACAGGGTATCCCCAACACTAGGCCACCCCACCCCTGAAGCTGCCATCGGACCTGAGTGCCTGCCCGGGGACTGGGACTTTGCCCTGACCCCTCTCCTCCTGCACCGAGCCTTGTTTGCTACACGGTCTCCTTGAGTCCTGGGCCAGGGCCTGCTTAAGTCAGACGTTTTTGTTACTTTCAGAATCTCTGTGTCGTTGTTGTTGTGGTTGTTTGCCCTGGAGTGGATTCATAGCGGCCCGAAATGACAGAGTAGAACTGCCCCACAGGGTTTCCTAGGCTATAATATCTAAAGGAGTAGATCACTAGGTCTTTTCCTCTGCAGAGCAGCTGGTGGGTGCCAACCAGCAACCTTTGGCTTAGCAGACAAGAGCTTAACTACTGAGCCAGCAGGGCTCCTTAGAATTTCTATTACTCTTACAAATTAATGAGGAACCCAAAGAGATTTTGTTTATGTGGGTTATATCTACAGATATTAACCATATGAGAAATTGAAAGAGATTAAACTTTTAAATTAATTAAAAATAATATTAATAACCCATTAAACGTTAACAGATACAGTATATTTTCGTACAAAATAAATATTTTCCAAAATAATGTAGGGAGAAGAGTGGATCATTTTACATTTTTGCACGTCTCTTTCTTATCTGTGTCAGTAGAAGGCTTCTGGATTTTCGTATCTGCTTCTGCAATCTGTTATTTTGGTTGAGGTGTATACAAAAAAATCCAGTGTCACACAAATATGAAGTTGGAAAAAGGAGGAGTATTTTTAATAGCCTTTCCAAGTAATTGTGAATGTTCATCTTTGATACTTCACTAAAGCTACCGAAGTGGTAGTTTCTTAAAGGTTAGTTTCAATGGGAAACCCTATTATTGAATATTTTGTATTCTGTTCATTAAAACCCATACGTCCATCTTGCACATTGAATGAATCTTGTACTAATGTGTGATTTTTTTAAGTGATGCATTAGTTCCCTGAGTATGCAGATCTTCCAGTGTTGACACATTTCATTACAAAATATGAAAAAGTCACCTTTGTTAGTATTACCACTGATTCCAGCAGAAAAGTTTGTAAATTTCAGAAAGCTGTCAAGCTTGTGGTGGATACAAGTTTTCCAATGTTCTAATCTCTTAAGAGGTTACATTTTATCATTGACAACAATACTATCAGTTGGCTTCCTTTAAGTGACAGGCTAGCTAATTATTAATTTTCAATCTCTTGGAGATAAGCCCTTTTCTACCTTAGGCTTCAGCTAAGACTGCTAAGGATGAACATCCTTGTATGTCTTAGAAGCCTTACTGTTTGAGAGATCTGTGAGGCACACCCATAACTCTTTTGAAGGCCTTTTGTCTGACTAAATTGTTACTCTGAGCTTGATCTTTTTGAGGTTTTGGCAAAGGATCTTATAGTCTTATCCTCAGTTTCATCTTTAAACTATGCTTCCCTGATGGTACCTTGGATTTGATCTTTGCTAGGAAGTCATTTCTTAATATTAGCATTATTTGCCATTTGAAGAGACTGGGAATCTTCAAAATCAGAAGAAAATTCTGGATCCTTTTGGTTTTACAGCTCTTCCTTTAGCTCTTCTCTGGTAGTTTATTTTGAGCAGCAAGAACACATACATGGCTCTTCTAAAACTTTGCTTAGAAATCTCCTTAGTTAGGTCGCCCAGTTTATTAGGTGCATTGTCGACTTTCCATATTACTGCAAGCAATAGTGTTGCGAAACTTTCTGTCACTACATAATATCCTCTTTCCTTCAGTTTCCAATAAGGTTTTCCTCACTTTCCTTTAAGCCCACACCCATAGCTTCCTCAAAACACATCTTACTTTTCCGAATAGTTTCTTCAGGACTCTTGTTGACTAATATTTTTATCAAAGTCCTTCTAACTCCTGCTCATTGCCCAGTTCCAAAGCCATTCCCACATTTTAAAGTTTGTGCTATGGCAGCATCACATTTTCAGGTACAATGTCTGTAGTAGTCATCTATTGCTGTGTATCCAATTGTACCAAAATTTAGCAGTTTCAAACAATGAACATATTATCCTCGACAGTGTCTGAGGATCAGGACTGAAGGGGCAGGTTAGCTGGGTAGTTCTCACTAAAGGCTTCTCATTAGGTTGCAATCATGATGTCAGATAGAACTGTAATAACCTCAATGTTTAACTAATACTGGAGGACCTGTGTTCAAGCTCACTCTGGGTTGTTGGCAGAAAGCTTCAGTTTCTTGCTGGGTGTTTGCCAGAAGCATCAGTTCCTCACCACGGGGGCCTCTCCATAGACAAATGGATTTATGACATGGCAGCTGGCTTCTCTCAAAAGAGATGATTCAAGAGGGAGAGAGATACAAACCAGAAAGACATAGTGTGTTTTATGATCTAATCTCTGAAGTCCCACACCATTAATTCCACTTTATTGTATTCATTAGAAGTGAGTCACTGAGTCAAGTCCACACTCAGGAGGAAGTAAGAAGGCCACAAACTTGCAGTTCTTACTCAACATAGTAGGTAGTTGTCATGGATTGAATTGTATCCCCCAAAAATATGTGTAAACTTGGCTAGGCCATGATTCCCAGTATTGTGTGGTTGTCTTCCATTTTGTGATCTGATGTAATTGTCCTATGTGTTGTAAACCCTAATATCTGCTTATGGTTAATAAGGCAGGTTTAGGTTATGTTAAAGAGGATTAGGTTATGTTTGTCATGTTAATTAGGCAGGATTAGTGTAGGATGTAACACCCTTACACAGGTCACCACCCTGATCTGATGTAAGGGGAATTCCCCTGGAGTATGGCCTGCATCACTTTTTATCTTACAAGAGATAAAATGAGATAGGAGTGAGCAGAGAGAGAGGGACCTGGATACCACCAAGAAAGAAGAGCCATGAGCAGAGCATGTTCTTTGGACCTGGGGTACCTGCACTGAAAACCTTCTAGACCCAGGGGAAAATTGATGCCAAGACACATGTAGATCTCCAACGAATGCTGGGCCCACAGCTATTGAAAGGCGACAAGGACCTTCCCCTAGAGCCAACAGAGAGAGAAAGCCTTCCCCTAGAACTGGTGCCCTGAATTCGGACTTCTAGCCTCCTCAACTATGAGAGAATAGATTTCTGTTTGTTAAAGCCATCCACTTACAGTATTTCTGTTATAGCAGCCCTAGATAACTAAGACAGTAGTCTTTCAAGATTAAAACTCTTCTCAAATTTCTGTTTGTCTTTGTTTATTTGCCAGAGATTTCAAATATTTGTTTTTAATATTTTTGTCATTTTCATCATTGTTTTCTACAGGAAGACTTTTCTACCCTTCTCTTACTGACACTACCAGAAGTCCTACCCTGGAAGAGACTTTTGGGAGAAAAGATCACAAGCTTCCAACTATCCGAGTATATCTTGTGAGGGTAGTATGGATCCAGGCACCAGAGATTCCCTACTTAGGTTTCTCAAACTGAAATAAGATTAGGCCTGGCTAGGCTCAGAAATCAAGGATGTTCTAACATGAAAATGGGCAAGACTCTTGCCTTAAGCAAGTCTAACCTGATATTACTTGCCTTACTAGAGTTTTATATGTTCTTCTTTCTTCTTGCCTGCATTTCTCATTAAAACTCAGTCGTCAGTGAATCGACTCTGACTCACGGCGACCTCACGTGTGTCAGAGTAGAACTGTGCTCCATAAGGATTTCAATGGCTGACTTTTCAGAAGTAGATCTCCAGGCCTTTCTTCCAAGGACCTCTGGGGCGGACTCAAACCTCCAACCTTTTGGTTAGCAGCTGAACACGTTAACTGTTTCTACCATCCAGGGATGCTGCCTTTCTCACTAGTGATACTTTTTAGTGGATGCACCCTTAATTTAGAGTAATTGACTGGGACTTAAGAAATTTTGA